CCAATGGGATATTGGAGAGGTTACAAAGTACAACCAATATGTCTAGGTCTATTATAGTCATATCATAGCACTGCATCGCTAGGGTCACAGTGCAAAAATGTGAGGATTTTTTTTACAATTTCTCAAACGTAGTACAGAAACAGCTTTACAGATACAGAAGTACAGAAACAGTAGTACAGATACATGCAGACTATAGACGGAAAAACGGGATAGTAAACCAAATAACTATATCCTTCTCAAGAATGTAATACAAGGAAAGTTCATTGCAGTTGCGTATACTCTGCGTACATAGTGAAACCAGTTCTCTCTGGGCGGAATTTGTAAACAAGAATAGATGCCTCAGTGTTCGTTTAGTATCCGAGGAGGTTAAAAACATTGAATTTTAATAATTTTGATAATTCACATAATAGTTTCCTATGACCAGAATATTTCATTGATTATTTATGTGAAAGATGGATCCCACGTGAGGCTTCGACATCCGTCTTGTGTTTACATTACCGCCCAGTGACAGTACACTAAAGTACAAAAGATGCGTATACCTCTGAAATAACTTTCCTTGCATTAAATCCTTGATCCTTCTAGTGAAATTAATGTGAATTTCAAAAGGAAGTTTAAAAATTATATGATTTATGACAAGTCTTGTTAATCGTTTTTGATCATTTTTAAAAGAATTTAACAAAACTTCAAAAATTGTATTATGTTACGATCGTTGCAACACATTCGTTTTTGGACCGTTTTTTGCATATATTTTCTGTCAGGATCAAAATTTGACATAGTTAGGAAAGAATGATTTTGAGATTGAATAAATTTGAAACCATTTTATTTCTTACACTGTGCGAAATTTTGCCCCTAAAAGAAAATATTGGCAAAAATCGACTGCATACTTTTATTTTGACAATTGAATTTAAGCTTTCACAAAACACAAAACATTAGTTTTTCAGAGATTGACCGGCAAGGCAGGGTGGTGAAGCTAAGATATGAAATGTTATGGAATACAGTGAGAACCAGAATACTGCTGGATGACGACATTAACGTAATACTGAAGTGCATTTGATTTTGTTACAATGCAAATAATTGTACCTGTGATTCACTTATTAAGTGAAATGGGTCTGTTTACACTGCGCAATTGTTGTGTCTTATTTTCTTATGTTTAAAGTAATAACTTGAGTTTAAAAGTCGACTTTATATTCCCGAGTTTTCTGTTTATCATGGTATACAACATTAGTTTGCAGTAGAATTTTTCTTACGGTTTTCAATAATTGTAAAAAAAATTATTGAGAGGGAACCTACTGAATTATAATGAATTATTCCGCCTCGTGATAAATACGAGTTTGCTCTTTTTCTCAGTGATTATAAAACGTAAAAACATATCATTTGTTTGAATTAAACTCTATTTTTTATTTTATTACTCTCAGCTCGGCTACCCTATACCTTGCAGGTCACTCCCTTTAATAAACAATTAAAAGATTTGTTTTGACTTTCTAGTTTCTTTTCATATTTTGTTAAACATAAAAAATATATTGTTCAATAAAAATTAACATAAAAATTGTGACATGAAAAAATTCTTTAATATTTTGAAACCTAAAACCTTAAATATTGAAAAAAACTGAACCATGAACGATGCCTAGTACTTTTACTTTAGACTCGTTCGCTCGACTTAGTGTGAATTGTTATCTATAAAAAAAGGGTTCCCTAAAAAGTGCGCGCGTTTAAATACCTTTAGAAAAAAAGAACAGGAATTTTTAGAATAAATACACTTTTGTTTACCCAACAGTAGAGGAAACTTAAAGTCTAAATTCTAAAGAGTCATTTTAGTTTTTCACAAGCTAACTTTTCGTTTTACTACAGGGTGTCCCACGAAACATGATATATAGTTAGAAGATGACTCGAAGGAATTGATTTTTTTATCTTAGAATAGGGAGAGGAGGGATCGTTTATATATTTTTAAGAAATGAGACACTTTTGCTAAATTTGCCATTAGTGGGTTGCAACGCGTTACCAACCATTGTCATTTTTTTCTAGGACTAAAGCCTAATATCAGATTTTACTTTTTAAAAACTATTTTCTGCTTAAAAGTTAAAACAACACCTAGGAGATTTTAACAATGAATAATGTTGGTTGATTTCAAAGTGGTAAAATTATCAAACATATACGCTTTTAGTGTTGAACTCATTCAGAATTTCAAATTCAGAAAAACGACGGATTTTACGCCGGATTGAAATTATGTAAGTTAATAAGAATGAAAAAATAGTTTTACTTTCACAAAAATTTAAGGAATTGGCGAAATCTTCGAAAAAAATTAAATTTAATTTATGGATCTTCACAAAAAAAGAATAATCGAATATCAAGCTAATTAAATGTTTAGAAACATATTTCTCAATAAAACAATGTCAGAATCAAGTATTTCTTTTTCATCATTAAAATTAAATACATCTGCCAATAAAATTACGAATTTATTGGCAGATGTATCTACAGAAAACGTTTGTAAACAATGAGACATTAGAGAAACAAATAACCATGAATGAGATTACTTATTTTCGATAATAATAGTAAAATTTCTATTTTCTCAACCTGTTCCTAAACATCAAATTGGTTTACTGTAGAATTTTTGTTACATTTTTTGTCGTCGTTATTTAATAATTTTCTAAAAATCGATTCTCCAGTCGAAACCACCCAAATGGATGATTTTAAACATCGACTTTGCGATCAAACTCAGTAATTATACATCATTCAAACGTTTAATTCCTCCACAATACCACATTCTTAGTTCAACTACCATACATTGCCGGTCACTCCCTTTGAACTAGTTTGGCTACAACACCCAATCGTCTACAGGGTTACCCACAAAGTCGTTGACTAAAAAGACTACCAAAAACTCTTTAAATATCTTTAGCTTGGTAAAAAAGAAAGTTGTTTTCAAATGCAGGGGATGCATGAATGTCAGACGTACAGTCGTCTCTGAAGTTTTATTCTTTGTGGGCTATGTATCTATAAAAGAATGAATGTTTAATATTTGATCAATTAATATTTTTCTAATCGTCGTGTGGTCCTGTGGAGCTATTTTTAGCGAATATCAATAAATTATTCATTATTGGGATAATTTTGGACACAATAGAGGTTAGGGTGCATGCAGTGAGTGTGTTGGGGGGAGGGGGGATGCAAAGAAATCTTGAAACATATTTTTTAGATTTATAGCGCATACATGAAAGGGTAGACCGTAGAAATTCGCAAAAATGTTGGCCTCCAGTAAAATAGAATTCTTGTGATTATACACGGCAAAGGAGAGGGATAGATCTTATTTTTAATACGTGTAGATATATCTGGTACCAACCTCTCTTAATGTACTTTAGGTGTGGAAAGTCCGAGTAGTAAATATATATCTTTAAAAAATATATTTGAGAGAAAATCAGTTTGTAAACCTCCACGTGTGGTAATATATATTAAAAGATAAACTACAGATATATTATAAGCACTTTATATCAATTATATATATATATATATATTACAAAATGGCGGTGCAATGACTCATAATAGTTTCCTATGACCAGAATATTTCATTGATTATTTATGTGAAAGATGGATCCCACGTGAGGCTTCGACATCCGTCTTGTGTTTACATTAATTTAGAAGGCTAAAACTTTTCTCTCCTTGTATTAACAGTGAATTTAGACAAATCCTTAGTCTTTGTCATTGTCAGGTGTTACTTTCTAAACGTAGTTTCCTTTTAATTTTGTATTTTTGGAACTCCCAGGGGGGGCAAGAGAACTACTGCCCCCCCTAGGTACACCACTGTGCCTGACCTGATGAAGGGAAATGCAAGCAGATGTAATATTAAAAGAGCCTCCCCAATGGATGCCCCCCCTCAGCCTCTCAGGGGGGGCACGCGTACGCCCCTGCTCTGGTTCACGTATACAATCTTCTTATTTTTTGAGTTTAAGATTTGAAAAGTGTGAAGGTTCTGAGTTCCAGGGGTGGGGCTGTGCCCCCTTACAGGTCTATGGGGCCGGGCGTTGCCCCCCACCCTGTATACGCCTTAGGACTGTCTTGTCTCTGCTTTCCCCTTGTTTTTACGAATTCTTTCACTTCTCTCTGTATGCTTTGCAGTTTTCATGACTTGGTCCTTCTTTTTTGTCCTGAGTGCTGTAAATATCGGTCATGGGCAAACTGAAAAATATTTAAAATTTAATTTCAATCAAAAATTTAAAATTCAAATAAAGTTTATAATTTAAAATATTTATTGATAAGTTGAGTAAATGATCTGTTTAAAAACATATCTTAGATAAATGTGATCGTCAACTTTAAATATCTATAGGATTTATATAAATTATAAATTAAAGTTCTGGGAATGTAACGCAAGTACGTCAAGAGCTACACCGTGGGAGTCCCTCTCATACTGGACTGATGCCGTACCGGATCGTCCGGTCACAACAAGTACGACGTTAGTACTTTGGGGCCCCGAAACTATCTCTGCCACACAATATATGTATACCGCGTAATTTATGATTTGTGTCGAATTTTTGTTTTAAAACCAAATTAAATGAATATTGAAAGCGTTGCATTATACAATCAAACCTTTTTTTCGGACTACAGAAAAAAACTTATTTTTACACACCCAAAACGTTATCAATATATTATTTCAATTTTTAAATAAAATCGAGCACATTATAATTTATGCAATATGTCAATAATACAGCGAAAAAAAAATCACAAAGTTAGATAAATTCTATGAATGAAGAGCTGACGGAAAGAAGTTTCGCAAACATGAAATAAAGCTATTTTTTATAAAAAATCAGCTCAATGAAATCTTGTTATGATTTTTTACAAATTATTTTTAACTTGTGATATTAAGGTTGTGTTGATAAAAGATGTCCTTAACCGTAACCTAATTTTTTGAAACTTAAAAAAATTGAAGGAAAAATAATTTCAACTTTCGGGGCTCTTTTACACGTGCCCTGCCTGGCCTGCACAGCACCACTCACCAGTCAGTTCTATAGCCTGGCCTGGCCTGGCCTGGCCTGACCAGTCTGTATCAAACCTGCCTCTCAGTCTCAGTAAGATCGTTTCACACAATAATACGCAGTTTATTCAACCCCTTAAAGTGGAGTTCAATTAGAGCTGGTGAAGTGGTTAGTGTGAGAATGTGTAATAGAATGGACATACTTTGAGAATTTCTAGGTGAATATTCGCAGTTTTATTTTCGTTCAAAGTGCTGCGTAGAATTTCTTAGTTCTGTTTTGAGTTTAGAGTGTACGCTTTCCAGTTATACATATAGGCCTCCATATACAGTTTGATGTATAATATTTGTGTAGTTTTACTTTTATTGTCAATATAATACCATGGAATAATATTTAAGATGCCAGTAATTAGGCATAAAGAAATAAACGATAATCAATCAATCAATCAACTACCATGGAATCTAAGCTCTACTGTTAAATCGTAATTTAACGTGTTTTTTAACATTATTGTGTACAATTTACAGTTTGGGGGTCTGTCCTAGTATACGATTTTTGGACCCCAAGATAAACTACAGATATATTATAAGCACTTTATATCAATTATATATATATATATATATTACAAAATGGCGGTGCAATGACTTAAGCATAAATTAAATCCAAAAAAAAAAAAAAAATTGGTCTTTTACTACCTCCAAAGTCAAGCACTTTGGGGGTTAGCATTTAAAAATAATTGTTCCCTGATAGCGCCCTTTCGATCAGGATGGGCATTCTAAAATGATTTTTCATTCGGACTTCTATCACCATGCTCTGGTTCAGGGGCGTAACGAGGGCTTTTAATTAGCGGGGGGTACAATTTGCGCGCGTAAGCGCGCAAAAAAAATTTTTTGGTCCCCCCCCTTAAAAACCCCTTTTTTGAAAAAATATTAATACCTTTTACGTTTTTATGTTAGGCCTATTTATTTTAAACACAAAGAAGTTAGGAATATTTAGAAAATGTTGGGAATTGTTTAATTTGAACTGGGAAATGTTTAGACCACGTGCATGAACATATATACATATACATTATACTGTAATATATTATTTATATTACATAATATGCTTATCTGCACTGTGTAGTGGTATATGCCCTTAGGCCCATCGCAAGGATTTTGTAAAGCAGATTTGATACAGGGGGAGGGGATGGTTAAATATTGGAGATTCTAGGTTAAGTCTGTTTATTAGTTAACAGAGGAAAACAAATTAGATTTTAAACTAATATATTAGAATAGATAAAGACAAATTTTGCTGTTAGTGCCCCTTGAAACCCCTCAGTTAGGTGACATTTTGAGGATACGTTTTTTGGATTGTTATTTTTGTTTTAAAATTTTGTAATAGTGGGGGGGGGGGGGGTCTCTGGAACATGCATTCGTCCCTCCGTGATTACCATTATACTGAATAGTTTAAACCTTAATTATTAACTCTCAGATATATGTAAATATTATACATTTGTGTGAAGTCTAGTAGGTAACCCAGACAGATATAAAAACCTGTTTTTTTCTAGGCTTAATACTGCAGATCTAGCGTAGACCTATATATTTTGACATTAGAAGGATCCTGAAAACCCCAGTTCTTTTTCATCATTAATAGTCGTGGGTTGATTAGAAGTTATATTTATGTATCCACTGCTATTTTTATTTCTATGGGATTTATATTATTGACAAAATTAGTATTTTTCTCTTGGTAACAATTGTAACAAGGCAAAATTTTCACAGCTCTGAAGAGACTATGAAATTAATGGAAATAATTTGTAAATCAGGAAAAAATAATAAAAAATAATTGTCTCTTAAAAATCAATTCAGTTTATCCGGATTCATATAAAGCAGAAGGATCCTAATCCATCCTGAGCAAAAGGAGCCGGATCGACCCTGAGCAAAAGGATCCGGATTCATCCTCAGCTAAAAAATGATTCGGAATCATCCTGAGTAGAAGGAGAAGAAGGATCCGGATCCATCCTGAGTAAAACGATACAAATCCATCCTATGCAGGAGAAGGATCCGTCCTTAGAGGAGCGATCCAGTTTAATCCGGAGAAGACGGATCCGGACCCATCCTGAGCAGAAGGAGGAGTAGGATCTGGATCTATCCTGAGCAAAGAAGGAGAAGGATCGGATTTATCCTAACATCTAAAACTAAGAAGCTTTTTGGTGCATCTCTGGAACGGAAAGTTTTTGTATTTTGCGTTTCAGTATTTAATTTTGTATAACATTTTATGTTTAGAAAATGGATTACAGTAGTGATGAGGAGACTAGTCGAGGACAGGAGGAGGAGGGAGGAGAGAAGGAGGAGAGGAGGAGGATGAGGAAGGAGATCAAGGCCGGGACGGGGGAGCAGAAGATCCTGTGCAGGATATGCGGGGATGGAGCTGTCAGGTAAACTAATACATTCTATTACTGAGAGTGTATCTAAGGGGCAACATATCAACCATAATCTGCCAAAAAAAAAATACTTGTCTACTCTTCATACCCAAATCTGAACTGTTGTTTGAAATTTCATGATTTCTGAATGGTTCATTAAGTTTTAGCATAAAAATAAGCGAAAAAAAGAAGAAAAATAATTTTTCCAGTGCGGATTCAGGACCCGGATCTGAACTAATAGTAAATGAATCTTTAGCACTGCAGTTTTACTTTGTTACATTTACTATAAATAATAATGTTAAAACCTTTTTTCTCTTTCTCATTTTTTTTAAACTATAAATATAAAGCATGTGATATTAAAAATAAATAAATCACTATTTACTATCAAGTTTCGAATTATAAATGTTCTCTAAAGCTAATATTGCACCCCGGCCCGGGGGTAAAAATTTGAATTAAGCTGAAATCCAGTTTTCTGAGAGTTCTTGGAATTCTAATCTCTGGTCTACCAATGCGTGAAGATGTCCTATCTAGACAAAAAAAATAGTAAAGAAATTGTTTATGTTGTAATTTATTGTGTAATCACTTAGTAAATAAGAACTATATTCATGAAAAAAATATTACGTACAAATAAGAAATGTTTTAAATATCTAGTGCCACGACAAACTCCATCCTTGATAAATTTATCACTTTTCAACACCCCCACCCCCTCCCCCCTCCCCACAAACACATAGACCTCACTAGTATTTATTTAGTTAAGAAGTAAATCCGTCTCTAATTTTATATTTACACCTTGTTTTTCTCTTGTTTTTATTCATATTTTTATACTAGGAAGAGACTTATAGTTTTACATTAAATGTGAGCTAGCTTAGACAATGACTGTGCAGTTTTAAATATTTGTTTTTGTCGGGGTTTCCAGGATTTAAGAAGAAATTATGCTTTTGAGCAGTTGATGATAGTACCGTTTCCTCAAGTTAAACTCGCAACCCGGAGCAGACTTGAATAACGGTCCGTCCTGTTTTCTTTTCTCCGTATTCCTGGAACTACACGTGCGTCTTAAATATTCTATATTACGCCCCCTTTTTGATAATTGCGATCATTTTTCTCTAGAATCGAATTTTCAGTCTCTCAATGATTATTCTAGAGAAACCGATTTTTTTACATAAAAAATACCGTCCTTCTCTTCCCAAAACTTAATAATTTTCAAACTTTTAAACAACTTGTCCTTTAGTTGGTGTAAATATTACCATGTCATATTTTAAGAACTAGGCTGTTAGAGAGCTTTGCGTACTTTTTAGTTAACAATTTTAGCTCTAAAATATTAATTGTTTTTCATTGTTATCCAATAAACACAAATTTTCGAGAAATTTTTGGTTTAAATTGTTGGATTTTTAGCAACAAAAAATTCTTTTGGCTCGATCGGTTCAGCCGTTTTAACGTTTATCGGATACTGAATAGAAAAAAAAACAGACGGCGATCCAAATGTATATATATAGATGAAGTATACTAGAGTTAGGTAAAAACTAGATTTTTCCGGTTTGACTGAAAATAGGAAAAAGTATTAAAGGATAAATAAGACTTTCTATATATATGATAACACTCGAAAACAATCTATATAATAAAACAAGACATTCGTATATATGTTGCGTATAGCCGGCCAAACGGCTTGACCGATTGGGCTGAAATTTTTTGTGGACACTCAGGGGTGGCCGGGGGGTGTTATAGGCTAAAAAAAAACGATTTATTTTTTCTCAAAAAAATTTTATTCAACCTTTTTTCTCACGGGCAACGCCGGGCCTTTCAGCTAGTGAATACATAAGATTTCAAAGCCCGACGCGACACATACCTCTTTTCTTCCCATTTTCTGAGGTCATTTCCTTTTTGTACGTCTTTCAGGTCAACATTCAATTGTTTTGTATGGTTATATGATTTTTAAATGTTGAACGATTTCGAAATCTATTTAACCAGGAACAAATGACTTAGCCCTGTACAGTGTACAGTATACATGTTTTAGATAAACAGATAAATAACTTAGGAAATTAATGATAAGGGAATTAATATTTACATTTTACAATTTTAATATGTTTTGGAATTAAAGGAAATAATTTAAAGGAACAAAAACTGGAAAAGTAGAAGAATAAAAATTAATGGATAATTCTCGCCCGGAATTTCTCGATAACCTGATTAATTAGTTAAATTCAAAGTTTCAATGGAAACTTGAAGAAAAAAGTATCGAAAATCTATCAAATTCAATATTAAAAATCGAACTAAAAAGAAGTTCAAAGTTTGATAAAAAAATAAACTTTAATTATGATATTTTCTTAATGTTTTTAGTTCATAGTTTGTAGTTATGTCATAGTTTTAAATATGAATATTATTTTATTGAAAACCTCATTGTACGATAAGAATATTTGATTTTGACAACTAGTTAAGTAAGTTACTGATTTCATAACAACTAGTTTGCTAAGTTACTAATTGTATAACAACTAGTTTACTAAGTTACCGATTGTAAAACAACTAGTTTAGTAAGTTACTGATTGTGTAACAACTAGTTTAGTAAGTTACTGATTATATAACAACTAGTTTAGTAAGTTACTGATTATATAACAACTAGTTTAGTAAGTTACTGATTATATAACAACTAGTTTAGTAAGTTACTGATTATATAACAACTAGTTTAGTAAGTTACTGATTACATAACAGCTAGTTCAGTTAGTTACTGATAATATAACAGCTTGTTTACTAAGTTACTGATAATATAACAGCTTGTTTACTAAGATACTGATTGTATAACAACTAGTTTAGTAAGTTACTGATTATATAACAGCTTGTTTAGTAAGTTACTGATTGTATAACAACTAGTTAAGTAAGTTACTGATTATATAACAACTAGTTTACTAAGTTACTGATTGTATAACAACTAGTTTACTAAGTTACTGATTATATAACAATTAGTTTACTAAGTTACTGATTATATAACTAATTTACTAAGTTACTAATTGTATAACAACTAGTTTAGTAAGGTACTGATTATATAACAACTTATTTAGTAAGTTACTGATTGTATAACATTTTTCTAATAAACTGATATCAGTTCTCATCAATTCTATGTATAATGTAAACATGAATTTTAAATAAACTGAATAAATAAACCACTGATACAAATATATTGTTTGTTTAAGCGGAATTTTCCCATTTTCCAGAATTTCAATGATTTAAGTCCAAACCCACCATATCCTCGTTAAAAATGTCAAATGTGCTGTACAAGTGTACATATCTGAAGAAATAAAATATTTGAATTGTTTTGATTTGAAATTGTTATGATTCATTTTATCTTTATTTTCCAGTCTTTACTCCCCCCCCCCCCCTTTCCTTCAGACACAATCATATTTTGCTTAGATTAAATACTTGTGATAAGCTGTACAAATAACGGATAAAATATTAGTTTTAATATTTGTGTAAATCAGAAATATTAAAATTTTATGAATGAAAGTTATTTTTTAATGGTTCATGAATTAAAAGCTATTTTTCTCAAGCTGTGTTACCTTTTTAGAACTCCTGCCCCTAAATTAAAAAATCTAATCTTTATAAAATTAATATTTTATTTTTAGGCATGTTCACTATGGTGGCCATTGTTGTTTCTCCTGTAAAGCATTCTTTCGTCGAGCTGTAAACTGGCAAACCAAGAACAAGAGAACCTTTCAGTGCAAGTTTGAATCAGGGTGCGAGATCAACATAAAGAACAGAAAAACTTGTCAGTCATGCCGGTTTCAGGTAAATAAATTCATCTTTTCTCCAGATTTTTTATTTAAAGGGTTAATCGAACGTAATTTTAAACAATACATCATTCTTTAAAATTGATGGAAAGTTTGTAAAATACATGATTTTGATTACTTTTTTGTGTTATTGAAGCTTCTTTAATTATGTTCGAACATTTTCTTTTAAGTCAATGAAAATAAAGAAACTTAACATTTATTTTTAATTTTAATTTTAAAGGAATTAAGTCTTTGTCACAAACTCTGATTTTCTGATACCTATATCTTTGCAATCTAATTTCGTAGACGCTAGATATTTCAAACTATGAATTCTGTTAGATCAAATAGCCTAAGTTTGAAATATCAAGGGTTTCCACCATTAGGTTGCCAAGATATAAGGATTAGAAAATTTGAGTTTGTGGCAAAAACTCAATTCCGTTGACACATAATTTCCTTTTAATTTCGTTAATATAAAAAAACGTTACGTAGAATACGGAATGAAAAAGAAAAATTACGGAAGAAAAAAGATCAATAATTTCAACGTTTCCTCAGTAAACCCTTGTTTTATGTACGTAATGAAATTATTTTAAATGTATTGTAAACGTAATATTACCTCCACTGAGCCCACGATTTAAAAACTTTTGCTCGAGTCCTGATTCTTTAAACCCGACTTTAAGATCCAATCTTCGACCCAACTCTGACGACAGATTGTGTCACGTGATTGACAAGATTGCAAGATCTTCAGCTTTACTTTTGGAGTTAGGCCCAATGAAAATAAAACCGATCTTGGTTGATTTTAGGGGAGAACAAGGCTCAATGTTGAGTCTTGTTCTCATAAAAAACCCGGAATGCGCCAATTCCTGTCCTGAAAATCCACCAAATAGAATATTAAACCGGTTTGTTGAATTCAACTGTGTGGTAAATAAGATGCAGCTTGAATCACAAAGCTCAAGCCGTAATTAAGGCAGAATGACAGCTTGATCCGAGTCAAATTTTCTAAATAGCTGGCTCTGATCGAGTGTCACGCCAAATTCTCAATGGTACCTTAAAATAGCTCCCAATTAAGTATTAAACATCCATTTTTTTGTTTTTGTAAACTGTTAAATTTCATTTGTGGTTTCTCTGCAAACATGACTTGCGCATTTCTTGCTTCAGAAACAATGAAGAAATTACCAGAAAAATACCATTATAAAGTCAGAAAAACTATGTTATCTTCACTATTGACCAGTATTTTTTTAAATGGAGGCTCGCTGAAATTACGATGAAAGAACCTTCAAGGAGAACCCTCCAGTAATGGAGTGGATTTGTTTGTTTTTGATGACGTAGAATTATGAACACTTGACACAAACTCTTAAATATCCAATCCCTTTATATACCCTACCTGATGTAAAACTTGATATTTCATACTATGAATTGTATTGTATCAAATAGTCAAGTTTGAAATATCGTAGGTTTACACCTGCAGGCTGCAAAATATAGAGATTAGAAAATCATCTATGGCTATTGATCAGTTTCCTTAATTTCTTTCACAAGTAATTAATTATCTTATCTTCTGAGCTTGATTAGATATTTTATCTATGTTTTCATTGTCTGATCGTTCACGTTCTTTAAAATCTGCCTGAAACGATTTAAACGAATTTAAATTGAATATCGCTTAGCGGGCCTTGGAAAACATTATGGCGAACATAAAACTTTTTTCCTAAAATTTAATTTTTCATGTAAAGAAACTGTCTTCGTAGTAAACTCTGTGACTCTCTCATTGCAAATGCTAGAAATCTGCAAGTCATCTTCATAGAGAAGCCACAGTTGTAAATAATTATTTTATACTTGAAATTGCGTCAACCATCCCTTTTCCTTTAAAAATTGTTTTTGATAATTTTATTCTTAAATTTCGAAGATTTGAGAACAAAAAAAATAAAAACAAGATTTATTTTTCATTACAAAACTCAGTTTGTACAAGTGTACATTATTAAGCAGCTGATATATCTGGTATTCTGTGATTAATACCGAATGAAGAAAGTGGAATAAACCGGACTTTTCTGGACATTTCCATTCCATTACCGGTATCGCTACTGTAAATAAAACACATTTCCTACTGGTAGGCGGGAGGGGATAATGATTATAATTTATCGTGTTTGTAGAAGTGTATAACGACGGGTATGAATCCCTCCTGGGTTCTGTCTGACGATCAGAGGAAGAAAAGGTTCAAAAAGTACAGAGAGACCGGAGAATTAAGTCCTACCAGTAGTCAGGTATGATTTACAGAGTAAAGGGTGGTTAAACCCTTCCCCCCCCCCGTAGGTATATTATCAGGGAAAAAACTCCCCCCCCCCGAAAAAAAAAGAATTAAAATAAATCAAAAAAAATTATCCTTCGCAGGAATTCGTCCCTGCACCTCCTCCCCCCATATCCTCCCTTTCCCCCTCCTTCAATTGAAATTAAATACATTAACAGTTTATCAAATCTGACGCAGTTTTACAGGTGGATAATGTTGATAATTAAATGAATCTAAATCAACATTGCATGATTAAACTTTCCTTATCTATATCTTGTTTAATATCAAAGTCCACAACAGGGATGTATATAAGTTTTTATATGGGGGTAGTCGTTTATATCAAAATACTGAAGACGAGTTTCGATTTCAATTTTCATTTTTATCAATCTTTTAACATCATGAACACACAAAAACATGGAAACAAAGGGAAGCTGTCAATTAAAAAGCTTCTCTTAAATTCCTTGTAAACTTTTAATTCGGAAAAAGCTAGTTAACAATTAAAACTTTAATAAAAAAGTCGTCTTTATTATATTGATCTAATCTCCTACCACCGTACTAAATAAGTTGGTCTTTATCAAGAGGTTTAACTGTAAGTCCTGGAAAGGGCAGAAGGGCTGGTGTAATTTTAAAGTATATTTTCACCCTGTAAGGAGTAGAATTCAACTTGTAATTAATGTTGTAGGATTCTAGTCGCGAAGGGGAACTGGATTTACCCCTGGAAAGGGGTTCAGGGCGGAGAAGAGCTAAGTCTGCACCCTCTCACGCGCATAGACAGGCTAGTCGGTTCAATCATGATGATCTGAGCCTACCAGCCTCTCAGCCGGTCAGTCCTTTAGAGCGTGACTACGGAGCGTGTCGGATAGCAAGGTGTAGTGGGGAGCTTGATATCAAAACGGAGCCGACTCTACTCTCGCCGCTCCGTGAGGATCCTTTTCCTTTCGGGTTTGATCCTTTGGATCATGTTCCTATAAAAGAGGAGCCGGAGATGGAGCTGGATGACTTGAACAACCTGCAAACTCTGATCTCAACCTGCGACTTTGTCACGTTAGAGGAGGAGAAGAAGAAAACGGAGGGAAAACCCCCAGATTTTTCTCAATATAAACCCCCAGATTTTCCCGAGAATAAAATCCCCGAGTTTCCCGATTATAAACCAGATCGATCCTCGAAGGTTGAACTGGGCCAGGAGGAGATGTTATCGCTAATGAAGCTCGAAATGTCGTTTGAAAACTCGAGTTCGAGTTTTCCCGTAATGAGTGCCGAGACAGCGAGTATCTGGAACTCTGTCTTGCTCTCCTGTAACTTCGATACCTTGAACAACCGTCTCACTAAGGGTTTGCTCAGTGAAGCTGTTGAACTGTGTCTCCGACGAAATCTAATCTTTCTGCAGGAGAACTTGGACTTTACCTCGCTCAGTGTAGAAACGCGCAAGCTGTTGTACGGCAAGAACATGGTAAGCATGTGTCACGTTCGCGGACTCATGCTGCGCTCTTCTAGTGCGCAGAACTTCACCTGTATCAGTAACTCTAACCTAGTTCAGATTAGTTACAAGAATATGAGAACCGGAGAGATGAAACTATGGAACCTAATGGAGGAGGAAGAGGAGGAGGGTCAGGGGGTGAAAGAAGGAGCTACTGAGACCACCAGCTCCCTCCTCCACCTAGCGGAGGAGATATGGAAACTAAAATTAGAACGAGGAACCTTCCTCATCCTTCTCCTGGTAGTTCTATTTTCCAGCCAGGGTTGTAACCTACAATCCTGCTTCATGGTGGATAGGTTTCAGAACAAGTACCTTGCCCTACTGTACAGGTAACCATCTCATTCTCCATCCTCATGCGGATTAAATCTGTTTAAAATATCCGGATCCAGTTAATGGATATTTCTTTAAAAAATCAATTTCAAAAAGATTATATTTTTGTGCGTGAAGCTACAGGGTTACCCACAAAGTATGAGACTGTAAAGACGACTTGAAAATCTTCAAACACGACGATCCCAAGGTTTAATTAAGTCTTTTGATTAAGAGTATTTAATAATAAAGAAAGAAAGAAAGAAGTTTATAGTCGCTGGGATTCACAATAATATGTAAACCTGTTGTTCTGCGCCAATGCATTTTCCGAAGTGAATTATTTTACAATAAATTCTGTACAGTCGTCTCTGAAGTCTCATCCTTAGTGGGTTAACCCGGTGTTAACCTTATAAGTATTCCGACTGTACTGTACAGGAAACCCAGATAGACATGTGAATAGTTAATAAAAATGAATCCATGCCCACACGGCTAAATCCGCGATCCCTCCATTGCGGAACTTTGACCCCAATCTTCATGAGAAGTTTTATTTAATTTTTGTACATTTGCCGCTTAAAAACTTGAAATTTTGTGCAAAAGTTTTGTCTAGTTGTGTTATCAAGTGAGACGTACACTATGCACATATACACAGACATTGATGTATTAAAATCAAATATTCGTCTTTATTAGGCCCAACAATTAACATTTATGTTTAAACGTTACTTAGAATAAAATTAAGACATCATTTGAATTTAATGAACTGTATTTTGATTGTAATTGGTAAAGTGTTTTTAAAGGATTTTTAAAATTTTATTTTTCAAACTAATTTTCCTTATCTTAAACTCTTAAATATGATTTTAAATTGGTAAATTTTGGCTTAATTTTATGACGCAATTATAGATTAAATTATTTATAACTTTTTTGACCCATATTTGAGAAATTCGTAATTTAGTTGAAAACAGTCTTCAAACCCATTACTTACTTGTTTAGACTGCATAAATATCACAGTTCAATAGAACCCAAAATTTGCATATTCAAAACCTTAAAAAATAGTATCCATAAAAAACTGGCTATTGTCCAAATTTTTCTAAATTCCTGTTTTATTCAGATACCTGCAGAGCCAACACGGACAGGAAACTGCACAGAAACATTTTACCATTATAATGAAGTTCGTTCTTGCTCTGCTTACCAACTCCTATTAGAACAAATTCCCACTCCTATATCATGATACCAACTCCTACTTCGATATCATTATACCAACTCCTACTCCTATATCATGATACCGACTCCTACTCCTATATCATAATACCAACTCCTACTCCTATATCATGATACCAGCTCCTACTACTATATCATAATACCAACTCCTACTTCGATATCATTATACCAACTCCTACTCCTATATCATGATACCGACTCCTACTATATCATAATACCAACTCCTACTCCTATATCATGATACCAGCTCCTACTACTATATCATAATACCAACTCCTACTATATCATGATACCAACTCCAACTCTTATATAATTACACCAACTCCTACTCTGATATCATAATACCAACTCCTACTTGAAGATATTACAAACTCTCTTATACTCCATAAGCCATGCTACCCTATTCCTCCTTATACCTTCAGTTTCTATGAAACTTTTACCTAAAATTACAAGTGCATTGTACACTATGTACAACGCAAAATGCAACGATGCGTACAGATGCAACCTACCTATCTGCATTAACGTGTATGAAACTGCTACAAAGTAGCCTGCCTATTTATATTCAAGTGTTGTAAAGTGCACAATCTAAAGCCTACTTAAGAGTATCATAGTGATACTAAATATACAGAGATATAACCTAACTATAGGGATCAAAGTCACTGTTGCAAATTTGGAGAAAATTTCGGCAATGTCAAAAATGAAAGTGATAAAAATTTATCAAAAAGATCAATTAGTCAGAATAGCACTTGTTGTCAGCATATTTTGGTTATGCTGTCGACATCAAGTTTTGTTTGTCAGCTCACTCCTAGGTTTTGACGTTGTCACATTTTTGTGAACGGGTTTCAACAAATCGGGTCAAATCTTCAATAGTTTTTATTACAGTACAGTACAGTACAGTACAGTACAGTACAGTACAGTACAGTACAGTACAGTACAGTACAGTACAGTACAGTTTGTAAAGTACAAACAGTACAGAGTAGTACATTACCACTTGGTTACAGCTAAACAATTATCAAGGCTTTCTTGTCCGGGAAGGAGCTAGGTCAAAAGATGCATTTATACAAGTTTTTGACATTGTCAAAAAAAAATCGATAAAAAGTGGAAGTGTACTATACTGTGTGTTTGTGCTGATAATAGTTTAATTGTTATTCATTGTAAATGTTATTTATTGTAAAATGTCTATTTATCGTTGTTCGTGATAATACACGTAAAATATTACAACCCCCCATTTCCCCACATTATTTCATCTTAGACGACCATCCATCAATCCCTTCTCCTAACCGCTCCATTTTAGCTGATATTCCCTCAATAGCTGATTATCTTCCGCTTCATCATGGCTGAGTATCCAAATAGCTAATTATACTCTTCTTGGCTGATTATCCTCCTCTAGCTTATTATTCTTTTCATATCCATTCATAGCTGATTATGCTCAAATAGCTGATATTCCATGTATTGCGGATTTTCCCTTCCTAGCTTATTATCCATTCATAGTTAATCCCTGTATAGCTGATAATTCCTTCCTAGCTGATAATCCTCCCATAGTTTATTTTTCTCCTATTAGATGATTATCCATTTTTAGTCACTAATTCTCCTTATTATCTTCCAATGGATGATGATTATTGATTATCCATTAAAAGCTCATTATATTTTCAAATCTAATCATATCTTTATAGTTTATTATCCCCTCATCTTTGATTACTCCTCCCTAGTTGATTTCTCGATTGCCAATATTTCCTCCTATTGATCAATGATCATCCCACCCTAGTTCGATCATTTTCCTAGCTGATTGCCATTATTAGCTAATAAACTGCTTGACTGTCAAGTCGGACTGAAACGCCGGTACTCGAGTCAAACAAAAAGTACGTAAATATCTTACCTCAATTCTTCGCTCCGGGTATATAATTCATATATTAAAATAGTTAAGAACCAGGCTAAAAAATGCAATTTATTAATTGTGTCATATGTTCTTAATCAACGTACAGAGTATTTGACGAGAATACTCTGAAAATAGAAGTGTGATCAATTTCAATAGCAGAATATTGTAACGTGAAGGAAACGATATGTTATATGTACAAAATCGTCATTTGTAAAATCAATCTGTGATCTTAGATGTAACTCTGTGTCTCGCTTACAAAATCATCTCCTGTCTTCATCTCAAAAAAGTAATTATAGCTCAGCAGCTTTGTTTTGCAATCCCTGATAATTCATGTCCTAACCTAACTCAGTACTGATAATTTTCTTAACCTAACTCTGAACTGATAGTTCTTGTCCTAACCTAACTCAGAACTGATAATTCATGTCCTAACCCAACTCAGCCAAATTAGAACTGATTCTTGTCATAACTCACCTAAGTACTAATAATTCTTTCAATAACCCAATTCAGAACTGATGATTCTTGTCTAGCCCCAATTCAGAGTTGATAATTATTGTCTTAACCCAAATTAGAACTGATTCTTGTCCTAACCCAATTCAGAACTGATAATTCTTGTCCTAACCCAACTTAAAATTCTTGTCCTAACCTATGGCAGAACTGATTTCGCCTGTCCCAACCCAACCCAGGACTATAATTTCAGTCCTAACCTATCAGGATCAGGAAGAGTACATTGAGATGACTCCTCCAGATAATCTTGCGAGATCTAGAAACGTGAAACATTTAGAAAAAATAACTCATATTTTTTAATGTCGCTGTTTATCTGGAAAGCGAGGCCTGAGATGAATGTAATAATGTTTAATTTAAGATTAATATATCATATATTCTATATTTATGTAAAGATGTAATATTTTTTGTGTCGAATAAAATTTTAAGCTGAAAATCTTTTTAGTTTCTTAGAAAGAAAATAAAAAAGACAACATTTGATAAATTCTTTCGAGTTTAGAGTTTAACTGTAGTAATTTAAGTTCTTGTTATTTTTCTTTACTAAAAACCATACGTAGTGGTTAACAGTTTTGGTTTGTTTAAAAACTTCAATAAAGTTAAGTTAAATTTGCAATTATTAAAATTTTTCTAAATTTTTTAAATTTTTAAAAAAAATTTTAATTATTTAAAATTGATTAACAGATCATTTTTTGGATCGTTTTACGGTTCATTTCTTGGTTCTGTCAGGGTCAGAATTTAGCATAGCAAAAAAAAATCGCAATGAACAACTTTTAAAAGACTAGGTTTTTTGGGCGCTTCGCGACTATCTTTTATTACACTACATTTTATCTTGGTATACATTGTAAAACAAAAACAAAATAAAATTGACGGTCAAATTTCCCTCTACTTTGTTATCAATACTTTATGAATTAAAGGGATTGTAAGCGTAATTTCAATTGACCCTCCATGCAAATATGGCAATGCTCGATTCACCGGTGTTCGAGAAACTTTTATCTGATCAATAATAAGGATGATACTGTCATTTTTCGAGGTTAGTGTTTATTTCTGATAATTCCAATATTTTTTTCTGCATAAGAAAGGCGCAAGGCATATATGTAAAGAAACCCCAATGACAAATAAATAGTTTTCAAAATTATAAACATCCATATCTAATTCATACTTATTACTTGATCAAAGCTTTTAAGAATACCATTGTGAATCGGTCATTGTTATCTTTGCATCGCTCTTGTATGCCGAGTCCATTAGAACCTGATCCAATCAGGGTTCAGTCATGTTTTTGGTGCCTATTCTGAACCAATAGAAATTGCACGGCGGTATAATCTATCTCATTATCCAGTGAGAGATACTAATGGAAATAAAATGCACTAAATGGAAATAAAATTACTTCTACTGAAACTATAGTGGCTCGGAGAGTCATTTGAAATTGATCTTACAATTCCTCTAAAATCGGCAAATTGATCAAATTTAAATGTTAATCACGTTCAGGGACTGAAATCACATTTACTGATACGCGCCGTTGAAGGATTCATATCTCTCATTGAATAATGAGATAGATAGAAAGATAGATGTTACCGCCACACTATTTCTATTGGTTCAGAATAGACAACAAAATTTACCCCTACTTACTATGAGACTACATAAACGGCCTTTACCTCTTAAAATATGAAGATTTGGTCTTCTTCTTCCTTGAATACTGTATTTTAATCTTCTTCTTCCTTGTATACTGTATTTTAATCTTCTTCTTCCTTGAATACTGTATTTTAATGGCGCTTATCTAATGATTGGGCACTGAAAGAAAGAAGTATAAAGTTACAAAGAATCATGAATGTAAGAAATCAGATAGAATAAATTCCGTACAGTCGTCTCTGAAGTCTAATCCGTTGTGGGCAGGTTGTGGGTAACCCTGTATATTGAATCCAGCTAATAAAGTCGTCTTTCCTTCTCTTCACATTTGATCAAAGTTATAACAATCAAAAATTGTACAGGAAAAGTGCAATTAATCAGGGGCGGATACAGGATTTAAGTGAGGGGGGGGGGGCAAGACTTTTTAGGAACAAAAAAAATCATAATTAGGAACAAAAAATCGCGCTGCAGGCGAAATTTTTTTTGACTTAAAAGACTTAAAAGAGTCAAAATTAATGAGTAAGACTAAAGAACTAGATTTTTAACTTTTCACACATTATAGTGTATTAAGACAGACATTTCTTTCCTTTAAGCATGCTATTGAGAAGCTATTCTGAAATAGGAACAAAAAATTCCAAATTCAGAGGGGGGGGGCTACGCCCCTCCCTGAATCTCTCAGGGGGTGGCGAATGTCCCCCCCCCCTGTATCCGCCCCTGCAATGAATCACCATTATTCCAGATCTTGCAATTTGTTGACAAGCTGGTTTGAAAATAAAGGCATTTTTTAAAAAAACCTTTTCCACTAAATAATTAAAAAATTAAATCATTTCTATTTATGGTTGATTTAACAATTATACGCTAAACTTTGTAATATTTTACACCTTGTTAACTTTGCTAATTTTCTTGTTATCATAAAAGATAACTATTCTTTTAATTAATATTATAATTGATATTTTAATTACTATATCATATACATGTTGCTACAGTTGTCATTTATTAAACTAAAATACGTTTTCTGATGTTTTTTCAAAAAATTTAAAATCCTCATAATGCGAAAATAAAGGAATGTTTTATTTGTAAATTAATTGCTATTTGTCGGTGAATTAATAGAAAAAAGCTAAAACGCATCAGAGGATTTCCGTAATTTCAAACGTAAAAATTTTGTTTTTCGGCAAGGCTTCTTTAGAATATTTTACTTTGAATAAATAAAAGTTTAAAAAATGAGGTCGCTAGAGCAAACAAACTCCTCACTCCCCCACTACCCGTCTTTTTTAATTAATTATTTAAATGAAAAAAAAAACAATTTTATTTATGCCTTTCTTGTCGAAAAGCCTTGGAGTAGATTTTTTATCTGGACATGTGCACTTTGCATTGTACAGGGTGTCCCAATAAACATGGGAATTCAGTGACTAATTCGATATCGTCTTTTTACATAATTCTTTGATTTAGTATAGTGATACCTACTGAGAAAGCCGTAATCTGTAAGAGTTTCGTCTGCTATGTTTACATTTTGTTTGTTTATATTTTAACTGTATACGGTTGGACTTAGTAAAACAAGAAAATTGCAGTATACAAACAGAGTAAACTTGTCCGTCTTCACTGTTCATCTTGCGGAGACATTATAGACACATCTTTACAGTCGTTTACCCTTTTCATAAAATAAATTCTAGCAGACATAATAATATTATGGCTTTTAAAATTAGGTATTACAATGCTAATTTATGACAAAGACAATATCGAATTCGTCACTAAATTCCCATGTTTTTTGGGACACCCTGTATGAAAACAAACAAAATTATAATGGATTAAAACACATAAAAATCATCATTTTACTACATATGTATTCTTGACTCCCCCCCCCCACTAGATTAGGTTGTTTGAAAATTGGGCTCATTAAAAAAAATTTTGAACTCCATATATAGATACATTATATGTACTGTATATATAGTGTTACATATATGATAATTATACAAAGATGTACAATTGTACAAGTGTACAATCGTACATCCCAAAAATATCGATAAATTAAGGTTAATGTAAGGAGGTGTTCTCTATGTACAGGGAACACATAGATCCAGACTGCTAGAAAAAGTTGCATCAAGTTGCATCAAGTTGCATCAAGTTGCATCAAGTTGCATCAAGTTGCATCAAGTTGCATCAAGTTGCATCAAGTTTCATCAAGTTGCATCAAGTTGTTAAAATTGCGTCGACTTCAAGGTGTCGCAATGTTTTTGACTTTACCTCACTGACTTACTTATCATTTTTTGTAACCCTACATTTACATTTTGTGACCCTACATTTACATTTTGTAGCCCTACATTTACATTTTGTAACCCTACATTTACATTTTGAAACCCTACATTTACATTTTGTAACCCTACATTAACTTTTGTAACCCTACATTTACATTTTGTAGCCCTACATTTACATTTTGTAACCCTACATTTACATTTAGTAACCCTACATTTACATTTTGTAACCCTACATTTACATTTTGTATCCCTACATTTACATGTTGTAACCCTACATTTACATTTAGTAACCCTACATTTACATTTTGTAACCCTACATTTACATTTAGTAACCCTACATTTACATTTTGTAACCCTACATTTACATTTTGTAACCCTACATTTACATTTTGTAACCCTACATTTACATTTTGATCAATCAAGGAAACTCTATTAGTTTTAGGTTTTATAAGAAGTAATTGGCAAAGTTCTAATAGATTTTAGCATGAGAGCTAACCATGTTTGGATGAGTGTGGAAGATGACAGGTAAGCAAGGTCCCGGTAGGATGTTGTATTAAGAGTGTAAAACTATATTTGGATAAAGATGCAAAATGTCTGAAATATGAACATTTTTCAAATTACATTTTTTATTATTTATTAACCAAGGAAGTTGCTTTATTCATTGTCCACCATTTATAGTTCAGTAGTTATTTAGCTAAAAATAAAACTTTTTATATACTTTTTACAATTTTTTATACCTTCCATAATTATATGTTTCTTTCTAACTATAAACAGATAAGAATAATTGATTCTTCAATTAAATTGATAAATTAAAGCTGTCTTTTGGAAATTAATTCTAAATTTTATCTATAGTATTTATATTTCTCTGTTCAAGCATACATTGAAAAATGTTTAAAATTTCGGTAAAAAGGTTTTTAAATTATTAACAAAATAATATTTTGTAATTGATTTGATATTTTTCAGTTTTTTTTCATATTACTTACTGGGACGGTCTTAGCACAAATATATTCTGAAGGATCTGGAGACAGGTGAAATAAAGTTCATCAATAATGAAAAATTATTTTGTGGATTTAGACACGCAAGCGTTATACAGTGAGAACCAGAAAACTCTGGATGAGACCCAGGTTATGCCTTTAAACATACATATGTGCAATTAACATGAGACAAAGCAATTGTGCAGCGTAAACAGACCAAAATAAAATTAATAAGCTATTTAATAAGTTGCTAAAAAAAACTAATTGCTGAAGTGTCGTATTCCTTTTCCACAGTTTTCTGGTTTTCACTCTAGTGTTTTCCAGCAAGAAAAAATAAATAGATATATTAAAAAACCAATGGATAAAGTTAGTAAAATCATTTTCGTTAGGGTATTCTCTGGTTCCAGGATCCGTCGCTACTGCGATTTGCGGATTTGATAATTCTCTTTCGGGGATTTCTTCCTCTACAATAGTTAATTTGTCTATGTGTTTGCCGGTCCATTTGTATCCACTGAACGTCAAAACAGCCAAACTGCCAAAAAATTACCCAAGGGAAGGTTTATGGATGCTCAAAATTACAAAAAACTGTCATCAAAATATTTAGATTTTTGTAAAAGTTTGAAAATCCAAGAAAAAATATTATTAAATCAGTGACTTTTTTGTTATTGTTTTATAATGGACAAAGATAAAATGTTCACAGAGAGAGCCACAATTATAGGTTTAAATAGAAGCATGAAAAAGTATAAAGTGTAAAGTATAAAATATAAAGTATAAAGTATAAAGTATAAAGTATAAAGTATAACGTATAAAGTATAAAGTGTAAAGTATAAAGTATAAAGTATAGAGTATTTTGCCAAACAATTATAGAAATCCATAATTAGTACAAAAAAGAATGATGATTGGAGTGAAGCAAAAGAAGAGGATGGAAGTGAACCCAATGAGGAATATATGGTGAAGATGAATTCCCAGGGAGCACCCAAAAAACTACGTAAGTACGTAGAAAATATAAGTTGGACATCCTTGTTTTAAACGTTAAGGTTTAAGGTGAGAAGTTGGTTTCTAAAAAATTCAGATGTCTAATATTACAAACTAAAATTTTAAAGTTTTAATATCTAAAGAACTGCAAAGTGTTTACCAAATGGATCCAGTCAGCCAACATTTTGTGGGTCGACCTCAGGAGTCATGGGGGCTGGATCTTAACTACCTCTCCGTGTGTATTGGGATAGTTTACTGATAAAGGATGTTAAGAGATTATGGCCTATTCATACAGCACAAATATCAAATATGCAGTATACGCTTTCGGAGTTCAAGTGTATGGGGAGGTTTTTATCTTGAATTTTCATAGAACAGTTTATTAACTGTGAAAATTGAATCCTGCACACGTTAAAGGAGTAGTGGATTTTAATAGTTACATTGAAAACAAATTCTCCATTTAAATATTTTCAGAAATCACCCCCGAGTACTGTAATATACAGATTGACCTTTGGAAGTGAAGTACATGGCATTTACAATTAGTAAAGGATTGGCGTACATCGTCACTCTATGTACTATAATCTCGTTGGTCGACCTATACCCGCCGGTACGTGTGAAAGCATTTACGATACAAATAAACCAAACCTGTGAATTCTTGTACCGGCTCGGATCATTCACAGATAGGTCCGGTTTGCAATTTTTAGTTCGAGGTAGGTAATTAAAGGAAACTTTTAGAGAAAACAATTCTCCAATATGTCTTAAACACTTTTAAGATTTGTGTAGAGCCTCCAGAAGCTGATTTAACAGTGAGGACCTTTTCCCCTGGCTTAAGCTTGGATCTTTTAATAATTTAACCTGCACTAAACAAACAATATGCATATATTTTTTATTGTAGACGCGTTCTGAGTTAAATGTAAATTATAACAATTTTTTTTAGTTTAAAGATTGTTGAAATATAGAGTAAAGTAAACCTATAAAAACCGAACGCATCACGCCCATGCTTAGTCCAGAGCAAGGAGAATTGAATAGAAGGAGGGGGCGATAGGGTTTCCGTACACTTTGCTGTGACGTTTTTGGACTACTGAAGAACTAGTTTTTCCGTAACAACAATAACAAAGGCAGCCGATCTAATGTAAACAAACATGAGTTAGTATACATTCGGTGAATCTTCATATAACACCAGAGATGCGCCAGATGTCTGTTTATCATTTGTGTTATTGTTTACAATCTTTATTATTGTTATTAGTTCTCCAGCAGTCCAAAAACGTCACAGCAAATTGTACGGAAACCCTATCGCCCCCTCCTCTATTCAATATCTCCTTACTCCAGAGTGTCCGGAGAACGAAAACAAAATCTAGATGTTTTATAAGAGTGAAAAATACAGCTGATAAATTTTGAAGAATAAATATTTTCTTTTTACAACATGAAGGGATTGTTATATATTTTCCTGTTTGAAAACACAAATAATTTTCTACTTTTACAGCTTGTGGGAGTCCAGGCACAGATGGGAAGAGATGTGGAAATGGAAAAGTGTGTAATGCAAAAGTAAGTATAATTAATGGGAGTGACCGGAAATGTAAGGTAGTTGAACTGAGTACGTATCCACCCCCAAAGTAGGTGTTTTGAACGTCGAATTTGCGCTCAAACTCAGGGTTTTCAGATCTTTAAAAAGTTTAATATGTCTTAAATGAATCCGTAAGAAGTTTTCCACAACACTGCATACTCATTTCAACTATCTTACATAGCCGGTCACTCCCTTTAAATACAGAAGTCAGAACTTTTGTATTGTGAATCAGGATCAAGCATTGTTCTTCATCTTGTGCAGATTTACGGATTAATTTAATTTCATGTTGTGGCCATACCCTGCAGGGACAACGAGAATAAAGGGATCAAGCATTTATCCTCAAATCTTAAAGAGTCCACATTTGATATCAAGATCAAGCGTTCAAGAGTAATGATATTTCACACAGAAGTTCCGACCTAAAGGGTTACCTACAAAGGATGAGGCTGTAAACACGACCCAAAACTCTAAAAAAATGACAATTTAAAGCTTTCTGCATTCAATTGAGTATATTTTGATGGTTTACAAAATATTTAAGCACAGAAACAAGCCAGTTTTGGCCTACAAGGAACCCTGAATGCAAGAAAACGGACTAAACCAATTCCGTAGAATCGTCTCTGAAGTCTTATCCTCTATGGGTAACCCTATATATAAATTTAAAAATAAAGATTTATTTTGACATAAATTCTTTTTCAGGAAAAATCATGTGGAGGTAAAAATTCTGTTTAATTGATGTTATCTTCTCTGATTATGGATTATTGTAAAGTGATAACCAGAAGACTCTGAAATAGGAAGACGACTTTTAGAATCCAGTTTATGCCTTAAAAAAGTCCAATGAGCATGAGACACAGGTGTTCACTGTAATCAGACCAATTTCACTAAATTTGTTTTAAATAATTTCCTTGTGAAACCATTTAATTTTAACAACATCAAATTAACTTAAGTTTTGCTAAATTGTCGTCTTACTATTCCATTGTTTTCACTTATTACTATAAGATATTTACAATTTAGATACAAAATTGACATTGTTAATGAATCAATATTACATTCCTTCCAACTCTAATCTTCTACATCTTATATCTTTGTAACCTTATGTCATAAACCTTAGATTTAAGTTTCAAAGATAAAATGAATTTAGAGGAATTGTGGCAAATAAATAGTTCCTTTTAGAGGAAACATTTCTTTTAAGATAAATTCCTAAGCACAAAATATCATATTTTTCATAAAGGGACTGTAAGCGTAATTTCAAATAAGTAACCCTCCATGCAAAGATGAGAGTGCCCGATTCACAACGGTACCCTTTAAACCTTGACTGATCATGGAAGATATAGATGTCAGTATATATCGCTTAAGTATTTTATCCTTGATAAATCAAATGGTTAAAGGATACCCTTAGGAGTACGCGTGGATACAAATTTGAAACATAAAAGATTTTTCTTGAAGGTATTGAAGTGTAATTTCAAGTGACCCTCCAGCAAAGATGGCATTGTCAAATTCCCAACATTTTATCATATTTTATCCAATGTTACAATTACATTATCTATTTATATACTTTGCCTGTCTGTCTATCCTTTTTTTGTCCGTTTGTATCCAATAAACGTCAAAACGGCTGAAACGACGGGGCCCAAATTTTGTGGGGGGCCTCATCCCAGGGAAGGTTTATTGGAGAAAAAAATCCTGGAAAATACTTGAAGTTTTTATGAAAATGCGCCAAAATTAGAAATGCAACAGTTAAAATTGCTAAAAATATTCACAGGAAAAGGGGCGCTTAAGTCGAGGATCATATATTCTGTTATATTTATGTATTTAACATGTGTGTATATTTAAAGTACAACATATTCTGTCCTATCTATATGTAATATGTGTGTATATTACAAGTAAATATATCCCGCCGTCCTATCTGTAACATATTCTGTCCTATCTAGATGTAATGTGTGTATATATTACAAGTAACTCTATCCCGTCCTATCTGTAACATATTCTGTCCTACTCCTATCTGTGTAACATGTGCAATATTTCAATTGTATACTGTCTGAATATCTATACAGACTAGCGCCGGAACCCAGCTTTGCGTGGAAACTAAGTTTTTTTCTACAAAAGTCGACCTTCTCTACTTAAAACTCTTAAACCAAGAAAAGAACATTCCCGTTGTTCTGCCGAGTTTAACAGTCAAAGTTTGAGGCTAATCGGTCAAGGGGTTCATGAGTTATGATCATACTTACAAACAAACAAAGAACTACTTTATATATATATAGATGGCGATATAGATCAAGAGGAAAGACCCGTTCCAGAAAAAAGGCCAACTAAAAAAGGAAAAAGGCCAACTAAAGAAGGAAAAAGGCCAACTAAAAAAGGAAAAAGGCCAACTAAGTGTGATAGAATAAAACGTAGTAAATCTTGCTGTGGAGATCGTGGAACTGTTGGAAAAACTTGTAGAAAGGTTAAAATATAGCTTAATTTTTATTCTGATTACAGGGTGGTGTGTTTAATGATATCTAATTACAGGGTGGTATGTGTTTAATGATATCTGATTACAGGGTGGTATGTGTTCAATGATATCTGATTACAGGGTGGTATGTGTTTAATGATATCTGATTACAGGGTGGTATGTGTTAAATGATTTCTGATTACAGGGTGGTATGTGTTTAATGATATCTGATTACAGGGTGGTATGTGTTTAATGATTTCTTATTACAGGGTGGTATGTGTTTAATGATATCTGATTACAGGGTGGTATGTGTTTAATAATTTATGATTAGAGGGTGCTATGTATTTATTGATTTCTTGTTACAGGGTGGTATGTGTTTAATGAATTCATGTTACAGGATGTTATGTGCTTATTGATTTTTTGTTACAGGGTGGTATGTGTTTATTGATTTCTTTTTACAGGGTGGTATGTGTTTAATGATTTCTTGTTACAGGGTGGTATGTGTTTAATGAGTTCTTGTTACAGGGTGGTATGTGCTTATTGATTTTTTGTTACAGGGTGGTATGTATTTATTGATTTCTTGTTACAGGGTGGTATGTATTTAATGATTTCTTGTTACAGGGTGGTATGTGTTTAATGAGTTCTTGTTACAGGGTGTTATGTGCTTATTGATTTTTTGTTGCAGGGTGGTATGTGTGTAAGATTTGGTAATGGAAGATCCAGATGTATAAAAGGTAACATATATTCTTTTTATCAGGAACTCAGATCCGTAGCTAGGGGGGGGGGGCACGTTATGTCTGAGACAAAAGGGAAGAGAAGGGGAAATGAAAAGGAACAAAAGAAAAAGGAAAGGTTGAGTATTTTCATGCAACCTTTACTTGGTTTTTATACATTAGCTATCAAATATCAAAGACGACCTTTATTTCGTGTCTCAACTGTAATGTACAATGGGACAACCTGTAAAGAGACATATATAATCATGTATTTCAAGTTTTTTTTTATTTTAGAAAAAAGAACAACGACCACTACGACAACTACGACCACAACAACAACAACAATAGATCCATGTCAACTGAGTTGTCCGGTAATTAATTTTCAGAAAACAAGGACTCAATTGTAAAATAATCAAATAATTAAAATAATTGCTTTAAAAATCTTTTTTCCTTAACTACCCGTTTATAAATCTTTTTGTAGTTTACATCAACTGCAGATTTAAGTTCATATTTTTTTTATTAATATTTTGGTCAGACTTGAAACGTTTCATTAAAGTTATGATACTAAGTATTTATTCACTTTTAATCATGTAATTAGATCATAAAATTCGACAGTTTCCTTTTTAGTTTGTCGTAATGACGCTTGGGGCCTTGCCTACCAAATTAATTCAAGAGATAAAAAATACTAATTTTATACCTCATGATTTATTCTAGATAAATTTCCCTGGAGGAGTATGTTCTCCAGCTAAACCACAAGTCAAACAAAAATGGGCTAATATGGCACAATGTTTGACATGTATATGCTGGGCGCCTGGACATTAAAAAAAAAATTCGGATTAATTTGATGAATTGCACTGATTAATTTACATGGCAAAAATCTATGTTTATGATTAATTTTAAAAATTGAACTCACATAATTTATATGAACAAAAATATGTTAATGTTTTGACCTATGGATTGATGTAAAATATTTTCACTTAAATTCATTAATATTGGATGAATTAGATACAGAGGGACCCATTAAACTACAAAATTAAGAAGACGATCAACTCAAGCATTTCTTCCATAGTCCATATAAAACACAGCATTTGTAAATTGTCCACAAATCCTTTTCATCTAACAAGTTAAATTACAAGCTTCAGGTAAAGCTTTATCCACAAGGGGTCTGTCGTCTTTGTAATAAGGACAGAGATCGGTGCTATTTCATTTGAACTACTGCCGTTTGAACTATGGCTCATTTGAACTATTGTTCATTTCAACTACTGCACGTGGNCGTCATGTCAGTAGTTCAAATGAACAATAGTTCAAACGAGCAATAGTTCAAACGTACCATAGTTCAAACGGCAGTAGTTCAAATGCGGATCCACCCAGAGATCAGGGACAGAAGGGAATCGGTGTTAGGTATAGATCATGTAGTGACATACAGTACACAGGAAAATACGGGATGCGGCATCTGTTTATATACAGTGTACACAGCTCAGAGCCCGAAATTTAAAAGAGTATCGTTGAACGAAACTCCCGAGTTTCCTTTTTGGAGTCTTAACATTTGTATAGACTTTGATTTAAGAGATTCGAAAAAAATGGAGAATATAAATCAAGTGAAAAAAATAATATTTTATTACAAAAATATTGATATTCATAAAACTGCCTAAACCCATTTGTGAAAACTGGGTTTTAAAACTGGTTTTCATAACGATACCCTGTCTTAAGTTTTGGGCTCTGGGGTATGTAAACAGTAGACAGTAAATTTTGAGCATCATGCGATACTGTTCTGTGGTTAACTGTACCACAAATGGTTCTCATGTTGATATGAGAATCCACACTGTTCGGGAAGAATGGAAATCTTTGAGCTGTTGGAAAAATATTCCAACTTTTATCTGCTCTCGTCATTTTACTCAAAACTCTTACAGCAATTATCTAAGAAGAAATTTAAAAAATCCGCTAAACCCACAGTGTTTTTGCCAACACAGATCCTGGCAGAAAATAACTTCGCATTCCCTGATAATAAAGTGTTAAAGAGAAGGTAATAAAATGTTGACATATACCAGATTTCAAAGAAAAATTAATACTTGTATTCTCAATAAGCATAATTTGATAAAATTGGTCTGCAATCTTATTACAATTAGTCCAGGGCATGAGCGGGGGGGGGGGGTTACGCCCCCCCTTAATGGCGACGCTGAGTTATCCTTTTACAAAATATCCAAAATGTACTTTTGGTTTTAAGGTTGAAGAGATAAAATTGTAAATTTTAAGGGAGGTGGGGGCTGGCCTGGATGTCCCAGCCTCCTTGAAAAGTCCTTTAAAGGCTGGGGGGTCTGAATCTATGTATAGGATGGGGGGGGGTCCAACGCCCCCCCCCCTTAGAAAAGCCTGAGAGAATATCATTAGGGTTTAAACGCATGTTCATAGCACAATTTTCAAGGCCAGCTCATGGAAAAAAATTAGATCGATAACTTTTAGGAGTAAAATTCAAGTTATTCATAAGAAGAAGTCTCGACAATAATTAAAGTTTATGATTTATGTTCAGGCTTGATGATGCAACTGAGCAAGGCGTGAAGTATAAAAAACGGTTTTATAAAGCAGATGAAAGATGTAAAACCCTGACTTGCAGAGTACGATTGCAGAACTTAAAGAAAAGTTCCAGGAATCTGCTGAACACATATCTGGTCTGCAAAAATCTGCCTTAGATATAGCATCAAGCTTCTTTCAACGAACTGCTGTCAAAGTCAAGAACTCAAAGATGAGAGCAGAATCCAAGATCCAAGCTGCACAGATGAAGGACAAATTATTTTGCGACAGACAGATATTAAACCGAATCTGTCTCAAAACTGTGTCTACCTGTATGACAGAACACCCTGACATCTTTAAGAAGGCTGATCATGGAGAACTTCATAAATATTCCTTGCTTAGAGAAACTGCACTACTGTACACAGTCCTACGGCTGAAACATCTTGCCAAGGAGAAGAACATTGATTCAAAAAAGTCAAAAATTAGAAAAAAGTTCAACAAACTTGTTCTTTTTGCCAACCAATAAGTTTATTCATGGTTAACATTGTTTTGTTCAATAGATTTTTAATACATTTCTTTATGAAACCATCTAAACTTTATTCATGAGAGAAAAAAAATCAAAAAGAGACGTCTTTATTTGTTGTTAGACAACATCTGAGAACTTTTGAATCAACAAAATAAGTTAAAACCTTCCTCTCAGATCTCTGATTTAAATTTAAACTGCAATTTTACTCATATATCTTTTGTGAATTTTCGGGATTTGTTTGAAAAAGATTGTATTTAAGACAGATTTGAACTTATTTCGTCAATTCAAAAGTGTTCAACTTTAACAGTGAAATATCTTGTTGGGAACCATGCATTAAGTCCAAAATTTACAATTTAAATTCTTCCAACTTATGCTATGAGATTTAACATATAATTACTAATTGACTTTATTGGCGAAATAATTATATTGGCATATGTCGAAAAACTAATATTTAAGGTTAAGAAATCTAAAATACATCAATAACATTTTTAGCATACAAGTAAGGGCCGAACCGGGGGGGAGGGGTGGACCGCGCCCCCATGTGCCTCCCGCCTCTTGTAGGATGAAATGGAAGGAGAATTCTCAGTATTCTCGAACCCCTATTTATATCAAAAGAGCCATTTTGGATGTTTTGCGTCATGTTTTTGATATTGCTAAATATGCAAAATATTTTTTGAATATTTGAACTTTGCACAAGGAGTTAGAAAAACGACTTGACAAATGTGCATTAATTGGTTTCTGAATTTTCATTCATGCTTAAAACGACGTCTACTAAAATCCCCCTCTTCTTTAAATGTACATGTTAACCTTTATGTTCAATAATAAGGAGTCTGTACAATTCCCCTGTACAAACTGTCTATCAGCATTCTATACTCTACTCTTTCTCCGTTTATCCAAGAACATGAAAAACAAAGATTTGGATTTAAATGCCTTTTTATTCAAAGTTCTTCAAGCACCAATGTGGATATGAACCTAATCGAGCTGACTAACCCTACAACCTCATCATAGGACTTGTCCTATGAAGGGAAGACCAACTTTTAGAATAAAGTAACTTTTAGAGGTTCAACAAGCATGAGACACAACATTTGTGCAGTGTAAACAGACCCATTATCTAAATTATTGATTTGAAAAGTGTCTAGTTAAACTATTTGTTTTGTAAAAATATCAAATTCACTTGATTATTGCTATAATGTCGGCTGCCTAGCCCTTTGTTTCCTGGTCGTCACTGTAGTAAATTCTCAAATGTACAGGGTGTCCCACATCAAATTAGACCGCGTCAATTGGTTCTAAATTACGATTTGGGGGACAAATCAGAAAATTTAAGAAGAATGAATCATTTTATAAAATTTAATAAGGCTAATAGAAAATTTTGTTGGCAGAAAATGCTAGATTTTTCGCGTATTATTTGCATATTTTGGCGTTTAAAATTGTTGATAATCTAATATGATATAGGACGCTCTGTATGTCAAATGGTTAAAACGCTCAGCTTCCAGACAAGTCGCCAGAGTAAGGTTTAGGTTTAGAAATCAAAGGTTTGCAGTGACGACAAGCTTTCTGATTAACAGTTCTTAATGTTTGGATAACTGTTGAAATACGATTGCTAAATATCTGGCAAATAATAACGTCATTAAAAATATATAATATCACATTTATTAAAGCAATGGTTTACATCTAAAAACTGTTAAAGCTCAGTGATATACCTAGAGCCAGGTTTCATCTCTCAGCTTGGATGTAAACCCGAATCAAGGTTTTACTCCAGGTCTAGAATTTGACAGAGGACGGTTTCATTTACATTTAAATTATCACAGATTCGGGAATTTAAAAAAAAACTAAAAAACGAAAATGAGAACAGGACTAAAAAGTATTTTTTTGTTCGTTGTTCAAAAATTCAGGGGTATAATTTTTTTGAAAAATGATTCCCCCCAGATATTAAAAATGTTTGCGCGGAGCGGCATTTTTTTCGATTAATTGCAGAAAATAAATAATTCTTAGGGAAAAATATACCAATTTTTGGGTAAAATTTAACAAACAGAATGAAAGAACTTGCCTTTTGATGTCCCAATTTGCTTCCCCGCCCCCCAATCATCAAAAATAATATCCCCGTAATTTTGAAAAATATTCATCCCTGTAAAATTGTTTAAAAATTGCGGAGGGCATTCTCAATAGTTAAGTAATTAATAACTGTGTTAAATTGTGCATTCAGGAATATCAGTAGAGTTGTAACAAGACGCATTCGCAGATTTGGAATCAAAAAAGATATAAATAGATTAAATTTCAAAATGCATAGTTTAGAAATTTTCTTTGGCACTTTCCTGGTTCTAATATCGCATTGTTATGGTGAAAAAATAAACAAGGACCTGCATTTAAAGGGACTGGCAAAGTAATCTCAATTTTTGTTATTTGAAGATTTTAAGAATGTCATGAACGGTCCACGACATTACCCATTCAACCTTTACTTCGGATATTCGATACACCGTCGGATGCTACTATTCCAAAAAAAAACCGGCGTTTCTCAATAAAAGAGATAAAAGAGTATTGTTGTGAATCATCTGTGGGGTGCTATGGAAACGCCTCAACACGGAAACGTCTCAACACGGAAATGCCTCAAAAAAAAGCGGAAACCCCTCAAAAACCGGTTTTTTTGAGACGTTTCCGCAATTTCTGCAAGAAAAACGGAAATCCCTCAAAACCCAGTTTTTGAGGGGTTTCCTCTTTATTTTGAGGCGTTTCCTAAAATTTTTGAGGGGTTTCCGCTTTTCACCTGACAATTATTTTTGAGGAATTTCCCAATATTTTTGAGGGATTTCCCAATATTTTTGAGGCATTTCCGCAAAATTTTTGAGGCGTTTCCGTATTTTAAAAACTTGATTTAGTTGAGGTGTTTCCTCATTTTTTTGAGGCGTTTCCGCAAAATTTTTGAGGCGTTTCCGTATTTTTTAAAACCTGATTTA